TGAACGAGGCCCCGCAAACGATGTTCCCGATCGGGAACGCGGATATCATTATGGACAATGCGCGAAGGATCCTTCGCCTGTCAAGAGGACCTCCCGGGGCGTGTGCGGACCCTGGGGATCTTCCGCGGTTACCAAGGAGGACGTCGGGGCTCGGGGCTCGGGCGCGCGGTCAAAATCTCAGCTGCAGAACCTGCGCGGGCGTTTTTTTTTCCGCCGCAGGCACGAGCACGGCACGTTCGCGACGGGGGGGCGGGCGGGGGGGAGGCCACGCACAACGGATAAAGCGCGCTGATGGGCGACAGCCCTGCGGCGGCAATATCGCGCCCCGGATGTGTCTCAGTGGGAAATAGTGGTGGGCGTGCCATCACGGACCCGAGGAGGATTCCTCACGTGTTGCTGCCGGGATCCCCCTCCCTCCTCATCCTCTTCGTCCTCTTCGTGGGCACTGTCAGATCAATTTCGATGAGTTCGCCCCCTGAGGTGTTGATAGTAGTCCTCCTGCTCCTCCTCCTCCTCCTCCTCCTCCTCCTCCTCCTCCTCCCCCTCCTCCTCCCAGCGCCTCCCTAGCGCTGGCTCAGGCCGCCCCCGGTGGTGGGAGCGCGCGCCAGGCGGCCCGTGGCCGCCGCCCTCCCTGGTCGCCCTCCCGCGCCCCCCACCGGATCCCGCGCCGCTTAGGCCCCGCCGCGGCGCGCTGTCGGCAGGCCGCGTCGCTCCGCAGCCGAACAGGCGCGCCCAGGCAGCGAGAGCCCAGGCTCGCGCCGCGCAGACGTTGTTGAAGGCCTTCGGGGCTTCGGAGCCTCGGGGGCGTCGTCCGGAGCGTCCGCGGCCAGCGCTGCCGCCAGCGCTGCGCCGCCCCCGCCCCTGGAGAAGCTGCGGCCGCGGAGCCGGCGGCGTCGTTGCTACCTTTGCTCCTGATGCACGGTGCCACCCATGGCGTTTCCTTGACAAACCCGACTTTTGGCGATGAGGAGGAGGAGAAGGAGGTTGTGAAGAGGGGGGAGGGCGTGAATGACTTGCCGTCCATGCCCTTTGGACTTCGCGCGAACGCCGTGGACGAGGCTCGCGGAACTGCTCGGAGGACGATTGGCATGGGCTCGCGAGATTTGTTGGCATCCAGCTCTGTATTGGCGGTGCTGGTTAGCGGCGCGTTTGGACGAGTGGCCCTCGCTGCGGTTCGGGTCGCAACTGGTCGAACAGCTGACGGAGCCGGTATCTCCGATACGGATGTGGGCGCTGCGCTGGCCCACCTGACGGACGGGTCGCAGGGATTGCCGCAACCGCGACACAGCGATGCCCCTCTGAGGTCGCCCAGTGCATGCCCGCAACCGTAGTTTTCTCGCGAGCTGGTATTCGTTGCACAGAGGTCGCTTTTGTCTGCGTGCAGCACCTTGGGGGAGACGGCGCTCACTTCGATGAGCGACGGACTGCGCCCCTTGGCAGACGGCGCAACCTTCGGCGTAGGATGGGGTGTTGTGCTCTCGATTCTTTGCTGCGCCACTTTGAAGACGGCGCGTTCCTCGTGGTGGCGTGACGGATGTGTCTTTGTTATTGCATGGTTTGCCGTTCGTAGGAACATAATCCGAATGTTGCATGTTCACGCTTTGCAGCTCATGAATTATGGCGAACTTGATTTGAGCAACACGTTGACCGAGCGAAGCCTCGAAACCGTAATTGCAATTCAGAGTGCACAGTATCGCAACGCGATGGTTGTAATCCCTGTAGTTCCTCCTCGTCCTCCTCCTCCTCCTCCTGCTCCTCGTCCTCCTTCTCCTCCTCCTGCTCCTCTTCCTCCTCTTCCGTATAGGGCGTATCGTATAGCTTTAAGGAGCTGGTGCAGGTAGTTGCGCGTCTTGATTCCGCGGCGGGCCCCCTGCGGGCCGACGCACCCCGGCGCTTTAACCGGGGAGCGTCTCTGTTCGTCGGCTCGGCTTTTTTTTAAGGGCCCCAAAATGCCCGAGAGGTTCTCTAGGTCGTGCGCACTGCGCAACCGTGGCTTAGCGAAGACAGCTCGCCCGGAAGGCCGCTCATTGTTCGCAATGTGTTAGCAGTGTTTTGGTTGTGCGAATAACAGACATTTTCTGTCCTGTTGCTATAGCAGTGTGCTGCTTCAGTCCCGCAGCAGTGTGCAGGCCGCACCCAAGATGACATTGCTAGGCCGCTCGTTGTTAGCAACCATTACTGTATCATTGCTATGACGCTCATTCCTTGCAGTGTGTGTTGTTCTATGTGGTTCGACTTCGGCGCGAGACCGATCCGCCGCTGCTGCGCCTCCTCCTGGTCCCTTGTCTCCCTTCTCCCCCTGTTGCTCCTTGTGTCGCCCCCTCCGCGGCCTCCCTCTCGAGGGTCGTCCCCCCTTTCGGCCGTTGCGCCGCTCAGTTTTACAACCCCTCCACCCAACCAAACTGAGGATGTGTGGAGGGGATTGGGCCCCAACGCTAGCAGCAGAACAATCCGCATTCAGAAGGCCATTGGGGGCAGCAGAATGAGGAGGTGTCGGAGAAAAACTGAGGAGGAGGAGGAGGAGGAGGAAGAGCGGAGGAAAAGAGAGGAGGAGGGGCAAACAGAGAGGAGCAGGGGCCAGAGAGAGAAGCGAGAGGGAGGGATCGCTTTTTGGTTCCAGGAGCGGCCAGCCAGCAATCGAAGAGAAGGCTTGGGCGGTAGGTAGAAGGCAAGGGCAACACCATTTCTGGAAGTGGCGACCGCCCACGGACAACCGTATTTGAGGGCCGATGTGTCCCTGTGTTTTGTGAAGAGCGCGACGATATCACGTCAGCGGCTCCCTGTGACACGCCTTGCCCCCTGTGAGACCCGGGAACTGCAGCCTTGCTGCAGCTGCCCGGTTTGTGAAGGGGGGCTGGGGACGGCCACTACGGAACAAACAGATTATTCACTGCGTGGAGCTCCCCATATGTGCATCTACTCGCATGGACCTGTCCGCCGTGAATGTCTAGGCGCAAGAGCTTTCGAATATTAACGGGCTTCAGTTGTGACGGTCTGGACATCAATCTAACTGCGAATGAATTGGAGTGTGAATGAGCCTCAGTAGTACGAGCGCGTCTCTGTGCATGAGCCTGGGGCCTCCTGGGGCCTCCTGAAACCTACTGGGGCTTCCTGGGGTCTCCAGGAGCCTCTTGGGACCTCCTGGGACCTCCTAGGAAGGTTTCGTGCCCCAGGAGAGGCGCAATCTATAGCAACAGACGTACATAAAACAGTGCGGATTAGAGCCACAGGAGAAGGGCAATCTATAGGAACACGCGTAAAACACCAAGGACTCGTGCCCCAGGAGAGGCCCAATACATAGGAACATGAGTAAAACATTTAGGATTGTGTACACAGGAGAAGGACCATCTATAGAAACATACGTAGAACATCAAAGAATCGTGCTCCAGGTGAGGCCCAATCGATAGGAGCATACGTAAAACACATGGGATTGGAGCCACTCCTGTTGCCTTCTGAGGCCTCCTGCTCCTGGGGCCTCTCGGGGCCTCCTGTTGCCTTCCGAGGCCTCCTGGCGCTTCCTGTTGCCTCCTGGGGCCTCCTGTGGTTTCCTGAGGCCTTCTGGAGCTTCCTGGGGCCTCCTGGAGCCTCTTGGGACATCCTGTGGCCTCTTGAGTCTTTCTGTGGCCTCCTGATGCCTCCTGGGACCTCATGTGGTCTCCTGGGGCCTCCTGGAGCCTGTTGGGGCCTCCTGTGGCATCCTGAGAAGAATCTGCGCCCACGAGCCTGGCCACCAAAACAAGCAAACCGATCGAGACATCCTCAAAATCTGGCCCACCTGGGGGGTGAAAATGAGCGCCTCGCTCGAGACATCCTCCAAATCTGCTCCGAAAGCGAAGGATGTTGGGCACAGAAACAAGCAAACCGCCTGAGACATCCCCACAAAATGGCCGCGAACGAGCCCGTGCAACCACCCCTGGCGGCTCCCCTTAGGGGTGCTGAAATGAGCGCCTCGCTCGAGACATCCTCCAAATCTGCTCCGAAAGCGAAGGATGTTGGGCACAGAAACAGCAAACCGCCTGAGACATCCCCACAAAATGGCCGCGAACGAGCCCGTGCAACCACCCCTGGCGGCTCCCCTTAGGGGTGCTGAAATGAGCGCCTCGCTCGAGACATCCTCCAAATCTGCTCCGAAAGCGAAGGATGTTGGGCCCAGAAACAAGCAAACCGCCTGAGACATCCCCACAAAATGGCCGCGAACGAGCCCGTGCAAACACCCCTGGCGGCTCCCCTTAGGGGTGCTGAAATGAGCGCCTCGCTCGAGACATCCTCCAAATCTGCTCCGAAAGCGAAGGATGTTGGGCCCAGAAACAAGCAAACCGCCTGAGACATCCCCACAAAATGGCCGCGAACGAGCCCGTGCAACCACCCCTGGCGGCTCCCCTTAGGGGTGCTGAAATGAGCGCCTCGCTCGAGACATCCTCCAAATCTGCTCCGAAAGCGAAGGATGTTGGGCCCAGAAACAGCAAACCGCCTGAGACATCCCCACAAAATGGCCGCGAACGAGCCCGTGCAAACACCCCTGGCGGCTCCCCTTAGGGGTGCTGAAACCAGCGCCCCGCCTGAGACATCCTCACAATCTGCTCTCCAAGCGTGAGAAAGTCTGTTTATGTGTACGTCTGGGTATGAGTAAGTCTGAGTATGAGTAATACTGTGTATGTGTAAGTCTGGGTATGAGTAAGTCTGTGTATGAGTACGTCTGGGTGTGAGTAAGTCTGTGTATGAGTAAGTCTGTGTATGAATATGTCTGAGTGTGAGTAAGTCTGAGTATGAGTAGGTCTGAGTATGAGTAAGTCTGAGCATGAGTAAGTCTGAGTATGAGTAGGTCTGAGTATGAGGAAAGAGGAGGAGGGGAGGAGGAAGGAGGAGGGAGGAGAAGGAGTAGGAGGCGTCCAAGTAATAACAAGAACCCCATCTTAGGATATGGGGAACAAAAGACACACATTCTGCTGATCGGTGGCCAACCAAGACTGGCATGGGTGGACAGTCGGTGCCCCCCGGAGGAGGCGCCGTGGCGAGCGGCCGGGGCAGCCGGGGCGGCAGGCGCTTTCTCTGCCGGCCCCGTTTTCCTCGTCACCCTCCCTCGGCCTCTGATCGTCATCATCATCATCAGCATCAGCATCAGCATCATCATTATCATTATCATTATCATTATCATTATCATCGTCAGCATCATCATCATCATCAGCATCATCAGCATCATCATCGTCATCGTCATCGTCGTCATCGTCATCATCGTCATCATCAACATCAGCATCATCATCATCATCATCGTCATCGTCATTGTCATCGTCATCAGCATCATCATCGTAATAATAGTCCTCATCGAGAAAATCGGCATCACCACCATCCTCATCACCAACAACACATCATAATCACCATTAGTAGCATGATCATTGCCATTATCGCCCTGCGTATCATTACAATTACCATTGCCATCATTATCATCATCCGATCCAGTGCTTCGTCGCCCTTCTCCTCATGGCCTCTCTCTGGCTCCCTCTATCTCTTTCTTTCTCCCTCTCTGTCTCTCTCGTTCTCTCTCTCTCTCTCTTTTTCTCTGTCTCTGTCTCTCTCTCTCTCTCTCTCCCACTATCCCTCCCTTGCTCGCTGTGCATCTATTATAGTCATCATCCTCTCTCCCCCCTCCGCGTGAGTATCAACGAAAAGGCGACTAGTCAACCGCACGATGTGGCGAGGCACGTCGAAACTAAGATGGGATCGTGGAGAGGTCCTGCTCCCTCTTCTATCGTCTTCGACTCAGGCGGAGGGAGTGCTGAGCAGGGATGGGAGAAGACGACAGAGGTAGGATGAGGGAGGAGGGAGGTGGAGGAAGGAGGGATGCTTTTTCCTCGTCGTCTCCCTGCGCCCCCCATATCCCTCGGGCTTGGAGGACCCAACCAATGAGTTGTTCCCACACATGTCCTTCACGCGGTGTCTTTCACTGCTGCTACAGCGTCCAGCCAGCTTGAAAGGTTGTGCACTCCGCCAGTATCCTCCTCCCCCTCATCCCGCTCGCCAGGCTTTTCACGATGACCTCGACAGGTCTCGAGTACCCCCCCACCCCAATGGGCAAATTTTGATCGAATGACTTCGGCCCATCCCGCCGCAGTGCATGGATTGTGGGTCAGAGTCCTCGGGGATTCTTCCCCGGGCCTCTTCGGAACGCTCTCGGGGGCACGTTGAGGACAGTTTGGGTCCTCTTGGGAACGGTTTTCGGGCCTCTTGGGGCCCTCTTGGGATTATCTTGGGGGCCTCTTGGAGCCTCCTGGGGGCCTCTTGGGGGCCTCCAGGGGGGCCTCTTGGGGACCTCCGGAGTGCCTTTCGGTGCCGAGGGCTCGAGATGTCAGTGCGGGTCCCCCGTCTGGGCCCCCCTCCTGGAGCCGTCCTGGGGTCCTCTGGGGCCGTCTTGGTGGTGTCTTGGGTCGTCTTGGCTCCCTCTGGGGCCTTGGGGCGATCGTGGGAGCGGTTTAAGCCGTCTTGGAGCGTCGGATAGCCGGGAAGGCGAGAAGCCCAAAATCGTTCAAAGCTTGAAGCGAATGTTAGACAGCGTGGGCCCCAAATAGCGTGTCATTCGCAATCTATGTTGCGCAACCAATGTGGAGCAATATTTGTGGTGCAACCTATGTGGAGCAACCTATGTGGTGCAATCTATGTGGTGCCATTCGCCCTGCCGAACTTGGAGTTGTCAGCTCCACTGCTCGCGCAAACATCCCACCCGCCCACCCCCAGCTTGGTTTGCAAAACCGATGCGACGGCGATTGTGATGAGTGCTTTGCGTCGGCTGGTGCATCTCTGCGGCCGCACCAGCCCTCGCATGCTCGCTCGTGATAGCTGGCGCGACCGACGCGGCTGCGGTGGCGCTGACCGCTGGGCACTTCCCAGTGTTGATCACGCCCGCCGATAACGATGACGATGTCGTGGCGTCGGCGATGAAGGTTTTCGACGGAGTCCAACATGCGCGCGCGGCCGACGCGCTCGAGTGGCCCGCGTGGAATCATTTGACACGGATCACCCCCCCCCCCCCCACGCGCGCAAAGGCGTTCGAATGAGTTCGACATGCGGCGCGAAAGGCCCGCTTAGCAGAAACTGATGGGAATGTTGACAAACTCGCAGTTTCTTTAAGAACCCGCAAGACCGCGAGCGCAGGTTTCTTTCCCGAAAACTGATGTTGTAAAACTATGAGCTGTATATGTATTCGGGACACTCGTTGTTGAAACCCGTGCGGAAGATTTCGGCATGCGCACGCGCGCGCGTCGCCCCATGTTTTGCAAGGGATTCTTGCGACAGCACGCGCGCATGGGCATTCGAGCGACTTCGACGCGCGCGCGCGAGAGATGCCCGATGTGTCGCATTTTACCGCGAGCGCATGTGTTTTTTATTTGAAACCTTGGTTGCGGAACTATGTGTATTGTTTGTGTTTTCGGGACAGTCGTTTTTGAAATCCTCAGGACACCGCAGGTATTTAAAAGATTGCGACGCGCGCGCGACGACGCGCGCGCGTGCACTTCGCCACATCCTGCGCAAGGGATTATTGCGACAGCGCGCGCGCAAGGGCATCCGAGCGATTTCGCCATCCGCGCGCGAGATGCCTGTTTTGTAGCAGTCGATGAAAATGGTGGAAACCGATGGCTTCTTCAGCATTCGCAAGAGCACGGGCGCATGCTTGTTTTGTTTGAAAGTTCTTGTTGCGAAGCCATGTTTCTATGTTACGGGGACACTCGATTTTGAAACCCTTACGAAGCCGAACGTTGTGAAAAGATTCTTGGGCTTACGCCACACCGCCGACCCTTTGGGGGGGCTCGCGGCGCGTCGCCTTCGCTCATGGTGTCGGTGTCGGTGCCTTTGGGAGCCCGTTTTGAAGCATATTTTGTGCCTCAGAGGTGTCTCTTTCGGCCTCGTGTGCGCCTCTTGGTGGCTTCTTGGTGCCTCTTAGAGGCCTCTTGGTGCTTCCTGTGGCGTTGTGGGGCTCTTTTGGGCCGTCTTGGCCGCCTCTTGGGCTGTCTTGGGCCCCTGTTGGGACCGTCTTGGGTCTCTTTTGGGCCGTCTTGGGCGGCTCTTGGCCCGTTTTCGGGCTCTCTTGCGGCCTTGTTGGGACTCTCTTTGGCCGTTTTGGTGCGGTCTTGGGCGCCTCTTTGGGCTGCTCGGGCCGTCGGAAATTCGAAGAGGCAAGAAGGCCCAAAACTTTAAAAAGCTTAGGGAAATCAATTATTTTGGCCTCTGGAAGCCCGCTCTGGAGGCCTCTTGGGAGTCTCTTTGGCCGTCTTGGGCGTTTCTTGCTCTGTCTGGAAACCATCTGGATGCGTCTTGGGGCCATCTGGGGCCAGCTGGAAGCCATCTTGGGCTGTCTTGGAGCTTCTGGGGGTCATGTCGACGCCGTCGGACGCCATCCAGCAGAATTTTTGGAGCAATTTACTCCCTCCGGCTGCAGTTGGTCGGGGCCGGCCGATCCGAATCGACTGAACTCTCCGCGGGGGAGGGGAAATGGGCGGGGGCAACCGTCTCACACGCCGAGTACCACCAAGGGGTCGCCGGAATACGCTTGCGATCCCCAGGAGGGGGGGGGGGGAGAACCCGTCTTACCCAAGAGGCGAGGATGGAGGAGGAATCGGAGGTGGATGAGGAGGAGGAGGAGGAGGTGGAGAAGGAGGAAGGGAGGGGGAGGGGGGAGGATGAGGAAGATGCGGATGGAGTGGATGAAGAGAAAAATGGCGAGCATAATAGCTTGTTGTCTCTTGGATGCCGCTCGGAGCCTCTTCGGATGCATCTTGGAACCTTCTCGGGGGCCTCTTGGGGCCTGTTGGGAGTCTCTAGGGAGGCTCTCCGGCGCCTCTTGGGACCAGTTGGGGGTCTCTTGGGAGGCTCCGGGGGGCCTCTTGAGGCCATCTTGGAGCAGATCGCTCAAAGAAGGGGGGTTTGCCAATGAGCGTCCTCCCTATGGAGCCCCAAAAATAGTCTCTTGGGGCGCTGTTGGAAGCTATCTGGAGGCGTCTTTGGCCATATTGAACTATTTTGGAGGTCATCTTGGGTTTTCCGAGGCTCTCTTTGAGCCTTCTGGGGCCACCTTGGGCGCTCCAATTGGTCGCGACCGGCCCGTCCAGGTCCAGGGTGGTGGGGGTTTCGAAGGGGAAGAGGGAGGAGTGGAAGAGGAAAAAGAGAGAACGATCTAAACCATCCACGCCCAGGGGGCTGGTGTAACTCTTACCATGAACCTGTCGTTTTCCCCGAAGTTGCGAGTTTCATTCTTTCGCACTCACCTCATCCCGCGGGACGAGCGCCGCGAAGACACCCTCCGAAACGCCCGGCGGACCCAAGTGACGGGCACTGCGATAAGGCACGGAAGTTGCGAGGCATCTGACTACCGGGGACGGGATGGACAGGGGGACGTGGAGGAGCGAGGACGGGGGGAGGAGCAAAAGGTGGAGAGGGTGGAAGGTGAGGTGGTGGAGGGAAGATGACACAGAAAGCTGAGGGGGGGGGGAGACGGGGCGACAGACGAGGGTGAAAAACAGCAGGCAAACACGACGCGAAAGACGAGGGCGGCGACGGAAGGGCGCCATCGTGAAAATCCTCTCGGAGGCCTACGAGAAGCAGTTTGGAGGATTCTGGGGGGCTGTTTTGGGGCCTCTTGGGGTTTCTTTGGGGCTTCTAGAACCCTTACGAAGCCGAACGTTGTGAAAAGATTTCGTCGCGTCTGTTGCGCTCGATCCTAGAAAGCTGCTGATTTTGATCAATGATTGCGCGCGCATAGCATATGCTGCAAAGGATGAGGGGGGAACCGATGCCAGCTTGACTGGGATGGCGCGAAGTCGCATCTATGATGGACGATGGGGCAGAATCACATATAAATTGCAATACGGAGACGCACCGCTAAACCCCAGGGAGGGGGGTAGGTCTTACGACGATTTGAGGCAGGAGAATATTTTTGGAACGGCTTATGTTGTGCAATTCACCTATGTGAGTTGTCAATTCCACTGACCGCGCACTCTTCCTACCCACCCACCCGCAACCGGTTTGCTAAACCCACGCGACGGCGGTCGCAATGAGTGCTCAGCGCTGGCTGGCGCATCTCTGCGGCCGCGCACGCTCGCGCGCGACGCGGCCAGGAAGTGCGACGCCACCGGCGCGGCCGCGGTGGCGGTGACCGCTAGGCACTTCCCAGCGGAGGCGCCAGTGCGAGTCGGCGACCTGGGCGGGCGAACCATCATGGCGACGCCGGCGACTGCAGGAGCGATGACGAAAGCAGCGATGATGGTGGCGATGGCGGCGATAGCGAGTGCAAGGCCGATGACGGCGCCGACGTTGATCACGTTTACCGATGACGACGATGTCTTCACGTCGGTGATGAAGGTTTTGGAGGGAGTTCGACGTGCTCGCGCGGCCGACGGGCGAGAATGGCCCGCATGGCATTATTCGGCGCGGATCGCTCCCCCCCGCCCCTTCCCCCCCCCGCGCGCGCGCGAGGGCGTTCGGGTGAGTCCGGCATGCGGCGCGAGAGGTCCGCTTGGCAGAATTCGATGATCAGGTTGGAAAAATGGATTTTCGTAAGACTTCGCAAGAGCGCGCGCGCGGGTTTTTTTTTTTGAAATCTGGCGTTGCAAAACCATGTGTTTATGTTTTCGGGATAGTCGTTTTTTGAAATCCTGACGACACCTCAGGTTGTTGAAAGATGTCCGCACGCGCGCGACAACACGCGCTCTTGCACTTCGCCCCGTCGTTTGCAAAGGATTATTGCGACAGCGCGCGCGCTGGGGCGTTCGCGCGATGTCAACAAACGCGCGCGCGAGTGGCCCGTTTGGAAGCCGGAAAAAATGCAAGAGCGCGAGCGCCAGTTTTTTGGGAATACTCTTGTTGCGAAGCCATGTTGTACACGCTTTCGCTATTTAGAAGCCTCTCGAAATCTCCGTTGTTAAAAAGATTCCGGCGCGTTGTTGTTTTTTTTTTCATAACGTTCGTAAAGATCGATGATTTGCGATGAACAGGTGCACGCGCATATTTTTTTCTGGACAAGACGAGGGGGGGCGTCGATACCGGCTTGGCTGGAATGGCACGACTGCATATTTAGGATGGACGACGGGCCATAATCATATGTAACTTACTCTACGAGAAGGAGGGCGGTTAAATCCGCGGTGGATGGGGGGGAGACCCCAATAGTTGCCAATGGTAGATACGATAACTTGTGTTGTGAAACGTAGGTGGTGCAATTTAGGTTGCGCAATATGATGCACAATTGGTATAGTGCATTTGACGTAGTACAATACATGTGGTCCAATCTGCGTGGTATCATCCATATGGCGCAGTGTATGTGATGCAGTAGGTGTGGAGCATGTATATTTTGCCGTCTATATGGCGCGACGCAGGTTGTGCAATCTACACGGTGCAAGTATGCGGTCAATCCACCTTGCCGAATTTGAACTTGTAAACCCCATCGCTCGCGCAATCATCCCCCATACCCACCCGCAACATGGTTTGCAGAACCCATGCGGCGGCGATTGCTATGATTGCGCGGCGCTGGATGGATCGTCGCTGCGGCCGCCCTTGCTCGCGCAGGCTCGCTTGCAGACGGTCGAATAGTCTGGCGCGACCGACTCGACCGTCGCGGCCGCGGTGACATTGGCTGCGAATTTCCCAGCGCGTTTTCGCAGGCCGCACACCCCCAAAGGGATGAGGCCGAAGGGGGTGGGAGATTTGAATTCCGATGTAGAATCGAAATTCTTTCATTTGTCCAAAAGACGGGCGGCGACGAAGCGGCGACGGGGCTGCGACGGCGGCAACAGCCGCCAGACCGCCACACCAACCCAAAGGACGGGCGGCGACGAGGCGGCAACAAGGCGGCGAAGGCGGCAACATAGCCGCCAGCCCGCCACACCAGCCCAGACGACTGGCGGCGACGAAGCGGCGACGGGGCGGCGACGGCGGCAATATAGCCGCCAATCTGCCACATCAGCCCAGTTCCTCAGCGAAGAAGTGCGAATCCCGGAATAGAAACACTGGTTGGGGAATCGATGATCATATTTCTCCGGGCCATGTTGGGAAGGGTCTTGGATGCTTGTTGGGGCGTTTGGGGAGTTTCTTCAGCGACTGGACGCCATCTTGGGCGTTTTCAACCGATCGTGTGGCGATTTGGCACCCCCTTCGGCCGTCGGGGCCGCCTCTTGGGCCCCTTTCGGCCCGTTTCGGGGCCCTCTTGGGGCAGAAAAAGCCACGGAAGAAACCGCGGGCAGCCCCACGGGCCACGCGACAAACCCCAGAAGAGTTGTGCAGTTGGGGCGCGTTCCCGTTAAAGAACCTTCCGGATTGAGGACTCAGGCTTCGGGGACGTGGCCTTCCCTCGTCGTCGTTTCTCTAGAAAGTTGAGTCGGACGAAAGTTGGCGATAGGAAAGGGAGGGGGGACCGAAATCTGTTGCGTGCAGTTGGTGTCCGCCCCGCCGCCGGGCTTCCCCGGATAGTTGATTGCGTGGGCGTTTCCAGCGCCAGGAGGCGCCGGGAAAGCCAGCTACGTGAGCTGATCCGCGAGCACCCCGTTCCTCGCCCGCCACGAAACACCGACGCCGACACCGTCGTCGTTCCGAGCCTGCCTCGGCCCGCCCCCCAGCAGACCCCCCCCGCCCCTGGGGCGGGAGGCCCGAGGAGGCGAGAGCCGCGCTGGGCGGGGACGCTGCCGAGGCCCGCTGGGGGGGGGGCCGACGGGGGGAAGGACGGGGCAAGCAGTGGCGAAGCGTCCTGGCTCGCCTACAGGCCTACCAAAGTATGTTCTAAGAACCTGCTGCGGTTTGCACAACATGTTCTTCGAACATTTCTGGTGGAGACCGTCTTGTTTTAACACATCGGGTGAACGTTCCAAGGGCATTGTTGCTGTTCTCAGAACATTTAGGGGGTTCTAAGATCGGGGAAACGCAAGACCCGAGGAAGCCAGAACTCGGGTTTGCCGACGCTTTTTTGACGAGCGCGTCCTGGATTTTGATGGTCCAGTTTTCGTGGGATGTCTGCAGCGGGAGCTCGCGTCAAATTTCAGATTGGGCCTCGACATTTTTATGTAGGCCCCGTCGGGCCAACCCGAGTCCCCTGTACCCGAGTCTTACGTCTCCCCGATGAGAACACTTCGTGGCAGGACTATAGGAATGCCTGGACGGTCGGCTCCTGCTCAAACGGGGGAGGGGAGCTGGCCCAGGGGAGGAGGCATCGACCCCCCCGATCGCTCATCGCCCCCCCCTGCCGCCCAGGAGAGTGCGGTGCGCTTGCCCTGTCGAGGCTTTATCTCCAGGAGGGAAAAAAACACAGACAGAATTAATCGTCGATCCCCCAGAAAATATAGGAAAATATAGGAAGTGGTGGGGAAGACAGAAACCCAGAAAATATAGAAAATATGGGGAATCTTGTTATTTGTGTATATTTATTTGTGTGTCCTGGGGCCCCTTCACATATGTGGGCTGCAGCGCCGATTCCCAGGGCCCCGAACCATCAGCCCCGGGGGCGGTCGGGGATAGCTGCAGATTCGCGCCTCTAGAGATACCCCGGACCGCAGTTGTCCCGGATACTTTGGGCGTCCAACCCTCCCGAGTCATCAGGGCTGGGGGCAGTCATGGGTAACCGCAGATTCGCGCTTCGGGGGCCCAAACCAGAGTTACCCCGGACAGCAGATATCCCGGATGCGAGTTCATGGTTCCCCCTGAGCCAGTCCCCCCAGTTCGTTCCCTTTCAGCGCGGGGCGAGGGAGTAGGAGGGCGAGCGGGTCAGAAGAGAAGGAGGGATCCAGGTTTTAGGTGTGCGGGTGTCCTCCTCAGATCTCGGCGATTTTCGAGCCTCGGCATGCGTTCCAGCAGTTGCGCCTCGCCGAGGGCGGGTGCCCAAATCGCCCCGAAGGGCCGCTGGAGACCCGAGTTATGACCCGAAAACCAGTCGACAAGGATCGGTGATCAGACGATCGCAAACATGGATCAAGGGGGCGTGGATTCGTGACGGGTCACGGTTCCATCGGAGATCGCGGATGTCCGCCGCCGAACGAGGCGGCACCGGCCGCATTTTGGGGAGGGCGCTTCCCCCGATCCATGGATTTGGCGACCGCGCGCCACATCCATGGGTCCAATCCATGTCTGCGCGCTCCCGACTGGTCGCCACGGCTGGAGCAACCTCAAAGAACGTGTCGGGATGGAGCCCAGGGGGGCTCTGGGGGGTCGATTTCGAGCGGATCCGGGCCAGACGGGAGAGCCGCAAATGCCTCAATCGGCCCCTTCTCTGATCCATCCAGACGGCGTTGAATGAAATTCAGGAGGGGGGAAAAACACAGACACAGTTAATCGTCGATTCCCTAGAAAACATTGGAAAACAGAGGAAGTGGGTGGGAAGACAAAATTCCAGAAAATATGGGGAATCTTGTTATTTGTGTGTATTCATTTGTGTGCCCCAGGGCCCCTTCGAAAGAACGTGTCGGGATGGAGCCCAGGGGGGCTCTGGGGGGGCGATTTTGAGTGGATCCGAGCCAGACGGGACAGCCGCCAATGCCTCAATTGGCCCCTTCTCTGATCCATCCAGACGGCGTTGGATGAACTGGGAGGACATTTTACGTCATTGTGCGACGCGGGCGGGGTTGCAGCAGCGGGCCCGCGCAGCGGGGAACCGCACCGAGCGGGCGTCGCACGCAGAGTTTTTCCAGCGACTCATCGAAGGATGACGTCAGTGTTGCCTTCTTCGTCGTCCTGCCCCCCGCGGGGCCTCTTTCGGAGCCAGGACTTGTTTCACTTCACTTTCACTCCCAGCTGGGGCCAGGGCAGGTCGGGTCGAGCGACATGGGGGAATTGCGGAAGTGGGGTACGACAACTGGCTCACGCAGCTGGTTTCGGCACCGCCGCCAGGCACGGTCCTGGATGCATGGCCGCCTCCAACGCCAGGAGGCGCCAGAGAAACGAGCGTTGGAGCTGTTTCCTCTCGCGTCGCGGGGGGCGCGCCCGGAGCACGCAAGGACAGCGCTGGGTGGTTGCTCTTGCTCGTTTGCCGCGCCGTTCTGCCGTGCCGTTCTGCCCGTGCCGGGGCGCTGCTGGTGCCACGGGTGGCAGATGCGCCCCCCTCCCACCCCCTTTTCAACGCCAGGACGAGCGTGCGAATGTCCACGAGGGCAATGAGCATCTCAGCATCAGGCAGCACCAAGTTCGAACCCCGATGGGCATTGCAACAGCGCGCCATTCGTATACAATTCCGCGGGCCTCTTGGTGGTTTCTTGGGGCCGGTTGGGGGCTTCTTGGGAGCCGCTTGAGGGCTTCGTAGAAGCCTTTCGGGGGCCTCTTCGGATCTCTTGGGGGCCTCCTGTGGGCCTCTTGGGTCGTCTTGGGGCATTTTTGTGCAATCTGGCCCCTTTCGCAGGCCGTCTTGGGGGCCTCTTGGGGCCACCTTGCGGTTCTCTCTTGGGGTTATATTGGGCCGTCTTGGGGGCCTCTTTGGGCCATCTTTTGGGCCCTCTTGAGCTTTCTTGGTGCCCTCTTGGGGGCCTCTGGGGCCGTCTTGGGGCCATCTTGAAGGCTGCTTGGGCCGTCGTGGGCCCCCGAGAGTCGAAGACTTGAGGAACCCTAAGGGTGATTCACGTTTTTGGCATTTGGACGTGGTCTTGGGGCCCCCCTTGGAGCCTTCTGGAGCCGCCTTGGGGGCCTCTTGGGGTCCGCTTGGGGCCATCTTGGGCCGTCTTGGGCCTTCGGGAAGCTGCGTTGAGCCGTCTTGAGCCCTCCCCAGGAAGCCCCAGAGGCCAATGTCATAGATGCTCCACACGTTTTGGTACGTTTTTGGGCCCCACAAGCGGGTTTGTCATCGTGGTCCGCCGAGGCGGCACGACTCCGGGAGGGGATGGGGCGGGGGAGATGCTGGAGAAACCAGCTTTTGAGTTGAGTCATTGGCTTACGCCACACCGCCGACCCCTCGGTGCTTCTCCTTCCTCGGGTCCTCCCGTGGACAGGGCTGGACATCAAGTGACATCAAGGGCTGGAAAGACGCCCCTACCCTGGTTTACGAGGCGCTGTGCGCTGAAGCTCCTGTGGGCCGGTAGGGGAAACCCTGCGTGATGTGCCGCGTCCTGGCGGCTCCAGGCTTTGGGGGTTCCCAGGAGGTTTACAGACCACGCACTTGTAACCCAGGGTTGGGTCGTTTTCTCATCCCGCAAGGACAGGGGGTTTCTCTCTCCCGCCCACGCCCGCCCCCTGGTGCCTGTGCCCCCCGGCGACGGAAGAGCTGGCTAGGCCTCTTCAGCGCACGGCAGGACCCGTGCTTCAGCATGTCTATCTCCTTCTTCTCCTCCTTCTCCTCCTTCTCCTCCCCCTCCCCCTCCTCCTCCCCCTCCCCCTCCCCCTCCCCATCCTCCTCCTGCCCCTGACGTTTCTGACGTTTCTCGCTACACAGCGTCTTGTCGCGCGCCCCGCGGGCGCGGAGCGCTCCGCAGCGGCCCATCAGGGCCGTGCGGGCACTCAGACAGCGGCCCCGGGAACCCGACCCCGAGGGAGGGGGAGGACCAGGGACCAATAAAATCACGGAGGGGAAGGAAGGGGCCGGGTTTTCAAAAAGAAAAGGTAGAGGGCCCGCCAGGGCCCTCAGCGTGCGCCGCGCGCGGCCGCCCACTCAGGCAGCGCGGCACGGCACGCGGCCAGGCCGTCGGCCTCTTCGTGGGCCGGCGGCCGCACGGCAGTACGCGCACCAGAGGTGCTGCTGGCCTCCGTAGTGCGCGAACCCGCAGTACTCGACCCAGTCGTACAGGTCGAAGTTGCGCTGCCTGACTCTGCGGCCCTCGGAGCTGTGCTGCTCGCCGCAGACGTGCAGGTCGCCTTGGTACAGCTTGGCGCTGTAGTTCACGATGTGACTCGGCTCGATCAAGGTGGTCATCAGGATGATGCGGGTAGTGGTAGTGGGTAGTCGGTTGGTGGCCATCGGCTGGTAGTCAGTTGGTGAGTTGTGGTGTTCGACTCAATCATGGTGGTCATCGGCTTACAGCATGAAAGTATGGCGTCGATCCTGTGGTACTCGACCCAGTCGCATCATTGATGAGGTGGTGCTTGACTCGATGGTCCTCATCATGTGATGCACGGCTCAGACACGCTAGTCGTCGGTGGTGGCGGGAGATGCTGGCTGAGTGGTAGGACGTTGGAGAGCTCCCCCGCCATTGTATCTGCTTTTTGTCCGTGCTGGTCACAGTCGTTGGGCGATCGGCTTGTTGCTGGAGTTGTAATGTGGGGCGTGGGCGCACATGTGAGGCCTCCATGCACCGACTTCAAGTGGGGTTCGCGGCGGCCCCACCTCGTCCCGCTATGGCTAGGGGTCACGGTGCCCTCGGTGGGGGCGAACCCCAGGCCTGGTGCTTGCGTTCTGTCGGTGTGGGATGTCTCGGCTGTCCTGCGCTTCGCCCAGAGGGCGCTCGGGTATCACCTCCTCCGCCATGGGGATGGTGGGGGTGGCGAGCTAGGGCGGACCGCGGGGGCGCAGGTAGTGGACGTCCTACCCCCCCCTGCCCCTCACCATCCCCCCTGGTGGGCGCGGGTAGTACTCGTCCTTCCCCCACCCTTCGAGCCCGTCTCGAAGTTTGATCCAAACCTCACCAGGGCAGCGTTGACTTGTAGAGGTGTGGTGGGGCATACCAGGGATGTGGTAGTGGTCGATGAGTGGCGCGGTATGTTCGTAGCCTCCTGCCCCTCCTCCTTCTCCTCCTGATCCTCATCCTCCTCCTCCAACCAGCTGTTCAATCCTGAATTGGTGGGGCGCAGTGAGGACAGCCCGGGCAAAGTATTGGAACAACTATGTTCAAGAGGCAGAGGCGGGCAGTGCTGCAAGGTTGCGCCCAAGAGTTCGGCCGACGACATGACAGCAGAAACGCATTGCGCAGTCTACCATTGCCGCGCAGAAGTCTGAGGGCGTATTTACAAATGCGGAGGCGGGCATAATCAGAACACCAGGGACGGTCGCACCATTGGAGGCGCGAGTAGGGCCACACACGCACAAAGACTCTCCCAAACCTGAGTCCCTCGGCCCAAAAACCTCGAGCCTTGATTCGCCTCCCTGAAGTGCGCCCTTCTGCCCCACTGGCCGCCGCGGAGGAGAGGACGAGGAAGAGTAGGGAGGAAAGGACGGATGGGGGAGGACGGAGGTGGTGGATCGTCCTGCTCTTCGTGCTCCCCGGCGAGCGCCCGTCTGTTCCAACGGCCGCCGCGGAGGAGGAGGAGGAGGAGGAGGAGGAGGAGGAGGAGGAGGAAGAGGAGGCGGAGGAGGAAGAGGAGGAGGAGGAGGAGGCGGAGGAGGAAGAGGAGGGAGGAGAGGGAGGACGAAGGAGAGGGAGGACGGGGAGGAGGAAGAGGAGAGAGGAGGGGCGAGGCACTGGGGAGGGGAAGAGGGCGGAGGGATCCCTCCTGCAGTCGCCCCTTCCCCCCCAGGCCTCCCAGGCGGGATCCTCCTCCCGCTCCGCAGAGGCCGCCGCGGACGCCGCTCCCGCCCCCGCGCCGCCCGGCGGGGAGGGCGAGGAGCCGGAGGCCGCCGTGGGTGCCCGGGCGGATGAGGCCGCGGACGCCGAGGGGGAGGAGGAGGGCATCGAGGAGGACGAGGACGCCGGGCCTCTTGCTGACGTGAGCGCCAGGTCACGGCCTCTTGGCCTCGTGTTCGCCGGCATGGGAGGGGTCCAGTGAGGGCCCCCGACAAGGGGAGGAGGGGAGCTGGGCAGCCACGCGTCAAGGGAGGCTCGTGTGCAGGCTCCCTCCTCCACGAGGAGGAGGACCAGAGTAGTTGATGGTGCCCTCCTCGAGAACCAGGGAGACGTTGCCACCCTGGCGAAGTTTCCATGCCACCGCCAGAGGACGCTCCTCAATCAGGTTAGGACACTACACAATAAAGCCGAACGATATAGGAAGGTCGACGCAGCTTTGCCTGTCAGTGTCGGGCTGGGGTGCTGTCAATCGTGGTACTTTCCCGAACTATGTTGGTGGTTGGTTGATTGTGTGCGTGCACAAGGCTATGGAAGCATCGCCCCAACACGCGCGCCCGAACTCATCCCCATCCCCACCTTTTTGTCATTTTCCACTCCCTCCACTCCTCCCTTTCCTGTTCCCAAATCCTCCTCCCAGCTCTTCTGCCACCCACTCCCCCGACCCCATCTCCCACCCCATCCCCCCAAGATGTCTCAGGCATTGCCTCGCTCAATATGTCTGTCTCTCATCTTCCACCCCACCCCCATCCTCCTCTACCCCTCCTCCTACATCACTTCCACCCCCTCCTCCGCCCCCCCGCGCGCGAAGGACGGCAAGGATGCCGTGGAAGAGGAAGCCACGGACACCGAGGAGGACGAAGAAGAACAGGAGGAGGAGGAAGAGGAAGATGAGGGCCAGAAGGATCGGGCGACGAGAGCTATGCACATGCACCACTCCTGACCTGGCTGATCCTGGGCCAGGGATCGGAGTACATGCTTTCCTGGCCGAGACGGGAAGGCGTGCACACCGATCTCTGGCCCAGAGGACACAGATGAGGAGGAAGCAGAAGGAGAAGAGTGGGTGGACGGCGCCGTAGAGGACGAGGCGGGCCCGCGCTGATTTCTCCCCGCCGCCTCAGTCTGCCCTCAGGGGAATGATGAGGAAGAGCAGCAGAGCAAGGAAAAGGAAGGAGCAGCAACGAGAAGGGGGCAGAGGTGAAGGAGATCGAGGCCGAGGGTCAAGAAGCAGTTATTGGGTGGAGAGCGTCACCGTGCACGCAAAAAGCTGTCGCCTCGTCCTACTTCGTCCTTCTCCGTATCCGTCCCGTCTCGTCTCAGACAGCAGCAGCGTGGCAATACGTTGAAGCTGAGAGTGTTCTTCAAGTCCAATCTACCTTTGAGATTGGCCTCGTGACATCGTGACACGTCGTGCAGCTGATTCTTGACATCGATCCTCCTGTGAAGTGGTTGTGCACGTGGCGGTCGCCAGGACAACTGCGGCTCCACACAGGTCAGCTACGCTTTCGACCTGTTAGGCTAAGAAACGGACCGCTCGAGGTTGGAATTTGCCATCGGCGTCATGGTCGATTGTTATGCCGTTTCCGGCGGCCAGGGCTCAAACAAGTAGTGGATTATTCTCTATACTTGTTCGAGCTATTAGCTAATTTTGGGAAGAACGCGCTGCTGATGTGTCGAGGGTTCCCCGCTGCTGATGTGTCGTTATCTCCCTCTCCTAGTACTGCCGACGATTCTGCTGGTCTACTTGCCCCTCCTCATCCTTGATCCTCTAGTCCATCAGGTCGGTCTGCCGGTGTGTTTGGTTTGTCTGCCGCGTATCGATGGTTTGTATCGTTGGTTGGTTGGTTTGAACAGCCTTGTCGTATTGCGTTTCTGCCAGGTCTGCGCATGTCGGAGGTTGGGGGGTGAGATCGCAGTGAAACGGAGACCCCCCACCGGGAAGTCGGTTTCGGTTTCGTGTTCGTGTCGTGCGTGCGAGCGAGGCGAAGCTGCGCGTGATCCTCCTGTAGCTAGGCCGAAGTAGGAGCGAAAGTCCGTTTCCCGTCCGCCGGTGGCCAGGAGGTGTCCCAGTTCGGCCGGGCGGTGTCCCCGGTGTCCCGGGCGTCCAGGCGCTAACGCATGTCGCTAATTTCATAATTCATGTTTTTCGGCGCTTGCGGCGGGCTTTCTTATCCAATCCAGCTTATCTGATCCAATCCATCTAATCCAATCCAATATATCTTATCGTATCCAACCCATCTAGTCCCATCTTATCTTACCCCGCCCAATCCAATCCACCCAACCCAATCCATCAAGGCATTTGTTTCTGCGCCTGCGGCGGGCCAATCCAATATATCTTTTCTTATCCAAACCAATTCTTCCAATACAACCCATCTTATCTTATCAAATCCATCTTATCCCATCCAATACAACCCACCCAACCCAATCCATCAATTCATTTTTGTCGGCGCCTGCGGCGAGCTTTTTTTATCCAATCCAGATGTTCTTATCCAATCCATCTTGCCCAATCCAATCTACCTTATTTTATCGAACCCATCTTGTCCCACCTCATATGATCCAACCCAATCCAATCCATCCAGCCCAATCCATCAATTCATTTGTTTCTGCGCCTGCGGCAGGCCATTCCAATCCATCTTATCTTATCCAATCCATCTCTTCCAAACCAACCCATCTTATCTTATCCAATCCATCTTATCCCATCCAATCCAGTTCACCCAACCCAATCCATCAATTCATTGATCTCAATCCCCCCCAATGTATCAGGGTGGGCATTTGATCGCAATCCCCCCCCAACCTCCTTATCACCCGCAGGGCGGTCGTATAGGTAGTGTACATGGTTGGTCTGTCTGGTGTTGATTTCCCCGTCATTATTTGTTTTGTCTGTGTGGTCGCTTGGTCTGGTTTCGATGCTCTTTTGGGTCTGTCTGGTCCGTTGGCCTTGGTCTGGTCTATCCAACCGGATCTGGTCTGTCAGATACATGATTGTCCAGTTTTGGTTTGGTTTGGGTCTAGTTTGGTTCTGGACCGCACTGGATTATTTTGTTGAGCGACGAGCGCCACATCCCCCATTGCGCACGTGTTCTGGCGTCTTCTTCGTCGAAGGGAGCGTCACAACGTGTTGAGCCAAGCGCGGCGCGTTGTGTGTGCAAGATATTCCCCTCCGCACTCGGAGAGCTCCCACCGCTGCTTCCGAGGCCGAAGACGAGCCCGAAGATGCGGAGGCCCAGAAGGGAGGGAGGGAAGGGGGAAGGAGGGAGCCAGGAAGGGTGGACCTGGAGACGTGGAGAGGACTTCCAGGTGCCCACCTGCAAGTGGAGACGTTCCACTGAGTTTCTCCCATGAGGGGCTTGCCGCACAGCGGAGAGAACAGTTCCGCCAGCTCGGACACGAATGCACACGGCATGGATACAGAAGTATGTTGGATGTACCGTCGGTTGTGCACCGTCGGTGGCGAGTGGACGGTGGAGGATTGGTTGGTCAGTGGTGCGTATTTGGTTGGTGGGTGGCTGGTATTTGGTTGCTATGTGGGTGATGAGCGGGTGATGTGTGTGAATGGAATGCAATGCAATGCAATGCAATGCAATGCAATGCAATGCAATGCAATGCAATGGAATGGAATAGAATGGAATGGAATGGAATGGAATGGAATGGAAATGTAAATGTAAATGTAAATGTAAATGTAAATGTAAATGTAATGTAATGTAATGTAATGTAATGTAATGTAATGTAGTGTAGTGTAGTGTGGTGTGGTGTGGTGTGGTGTGGTGTGGTGTGGTGTGGTGTGGTGTGGTGTGGTGTGGTGTGGTGTGGTGTGGTGTGGTGTAGTGTAGTGTAGTGTAGTGTAGTGTAGTGTAGTGTAGTGTAGTGCAGTGTAATGTAGTGTAGTGTAGTGTAGTGCAGTGTGTGTTGTGTGTTGTGTGTGTGTTTTGTGTGTGGTGTGTGTTTTGTGTGTGTTGTGTGTTGTGTGTTGTGTGTGTTGTGTGTGTGTTGTGTGTGTAGTGTGTGTGTGTGTGTGTTGTGTGTTGTGTGTGTGTGTTGTGTGTGTGGCTGTGTGTGTGTGTGGCTGCGTGTGTGGCTGTGTGTGTGTGGCTGTGTGAATGTGTGGCTGTGTGTGTGGTTGTGTGTGTTGTGTGTGTTGTGTGTGTTGTGTGTGTGGCTGTGTGTGTGGCTGTGGGTGTGTGGCTGTGTGTGTGGCTGTGTGTGTGGCTGTGTGTGTGTGGCTGTGTGTGTGGCTGTGTGTGTGGCTGTGTGTGTGGCTGTGTGTGTGTGCATCTCGCCAGAGGCTAGGTACGTCTGCATACACGAGCCTCTACACATTAGGCACACCTGGAACTGGTTATGCGAGGCCTGCGGCCGTCAGTTGAACTCAGGCCACGAATCTGCCCAAAATCACCTGAAGAAACTGCGCAGCCTCCTGTGCCTCACGGTGAAAAGCTTCATCGGAGGGGGCTAGGACGAATCCGTTCCCGTCCGCGACGCCCCCGAAGCGCATCTGCGCGCTGACGAAGTTTCCGCCCCCGTCCCCCTTGCCGGGTACGTCCCCTTCGGCTATCCTCCCAGCGAGGCTGGCCCCGAGTGGTCTCCCCCTCCTGCGTTCGCTGTCGATGTCGATCAGCGTCTCCTCCCCCTGGGAGTCAGCCCTGTGGCTCGTTGCAGACCACCGGTGGCTGCGTCCCGCTCTCCCTGCCCCTCCTGCGGGGCACATGGGACCCGTCTTCCGTTCTCCCCCCGTCCTGCCCCCGAGCGGAGGAGGAGGAGGAGGAGGAGGAGGAGGAGGGAGGAGGGAGAAGGAGGAGGAGGAGGAGGAGGAGGAGGAAGAGGAGGGAGGAGGGAGGAGCCCCATTCCGGGACCCTTCCTAGCGCCTCCGCTCTCTCTTGCCCGCCTCTCCCCCCCTCCGCTCTGCCCCCTCGCGGCGGGGCTGCCTCCAGTGCGGCTGCATCGGGGGCGTCTTCTGCGCCGCCCTTCCTGTGTATACGCCGCCGGGTTCTCCGCCCGCTCGGCCCGCTCGCGCCGGCCGCGCTGCCCGTCCACCCGCGCCCTCTACGCTCAGTTCCCGACCCATGGCGGCCAGCGCCGCCCCCAGAGTTTCTCGGGGGTGGACAGAACCCCCAACAGTGACACGTCGACTAGTGAGTTTTCCGTTTTCGGTTCTCGAGAGGACGCCGTGGCCGTTATTTTCCAGGCTCGCGCCCGCCAGGTTTGGGCCTCAGGTCGTTTTCACTAAACCACGTGTTACTAGAGGGGGGTTTGTCCATCCCCGAGTTTCCGCCAGTGCAGCCCATGGCACTGGCTCCGGCCCCCCCTTGTTTCACCGCCTCGCCACGGATGCCCGGTGATGGCTTGGCGGGCTGTCTGCCTGCGAGCGCCACTCAGGGCAGGTTTACACAGGGGGGCGGGTTTCCTTGGCCATCCAGTTCCCCCACTGTTGGGAGCGGGACCTTCGAGAGTGTTGCAGCAAGGAGAGTCTGGCGGATGGATCACAACGCCACCGCCGAGCCCACGCCTATTCTTCTAAGCATTGTCGCGCCCTCGCTGCCCGCCCTGACGGTGCCTTTAACGTGGGGCTCACCCACCAGACCCCTGAAGAGCCTGACTGGTTCGCCACGCATGCGGATGCTTCAGCCCTGCTGGCACGTTCCGACCAGCGTCGGGCACTGTGGGCGCTGAGCTGGCCTCCTTGCGGGCTGGATCTTGAGAAGAAAAAACGATTCCCTCGACGCCTCCCACGACTATCTGCGTGTGCAATGGCCCAGACCCCCTGACATCGGCGCTCCCCCACTGCGCGGCCCCTACCACACCTGCCCCGTGTGGTGGAACTGCCGCAAAGGTCCCTTTTTCCCGATGGCGGGTTCTGGCTGGATGTCCTCCAGGGTGATGTGCAGCAGTCAGGAGGAAAAGAAACACACAGACACAATGAATCGTCAATTCCCTAGAATATATGGAAAAATATGGAAAGTGGGGGGGAAGACAAAAACCCAGAAAATATTTGGAAAATAGTGGGAATCCTGTTATTTGTGTGTATTTATTTGTGTGTCCCAGGGCCCCTTCACAGAAGCGAAGCGCATCTTCGAATGGTCTGAACTATACGCCAGCGACTGCCGCGGCGAGCTGCGGCGCCCGGCCTGCGAGGTTCTCGACCCTCCAGCTCCCCCTGCCCCTATTGCCCCTGCTCCCCTCGTTCGCTGTTCTTCTCAGTTTCTATGTCACCGGCCGAGCCCGCTGCCTCCCCCTTGGGGAGCCCAGCGAAGCAGGTGGTCGCGCCATGGGGGGCGGCAATGCCGCCGTGGGTCAGGGCTGGGACGCAGGCGAGGCTGCCTCGGGCGCGCGCCTGCCCCGAACCAGGACCCCGCCCCACATGGAAGTCGACTCCGCCCACGGGCCACTGCCCTTCCCACGCGACCCCCCCGATGCCGCCCTTTTCGCCTCCCTTTGTAGGCGATATCGACTAGGTTTGGGTCGGTCTGGTGGATGGGCGCGAAACGCTCGGCAGCACGATTGAGACCACATGCACGGGGGCCTCATCCTGGCTCGCATGTCAGCGACGCTCCTGATTGTTCGAAGGGGGGTCATGGGACATGGGACATGGGTTGCAGGATGCACCTTGCGCGCGCAGGCGCGCTCGAGGAAGGGCGGAGGCGATCGGGGAAGTGCAGGCTGGGGTCGGCGGAACGGGAGTTGGCCAGGTGGAAGACCCCCCTCCAAAGTCAGGCCCGGCGAAAACCGACGCGGAAGAAGCCGCGCGTGGCCGCGACCAGCTGGTCGTGAGAGAGTTCCCCGATAGGGGCGCGCGCGCAAAGCGTTCAAAGGGGCCGGCCTGAGGGGCCAGAGGGGCAGAGGGGCGGCCGCAGTGGCGGCCGCGTGGGCGCCAGAGGCGCTGGTCTAGGACGCGCGGGGTTCGGGCGGGCGGGGGGCCGGGGCCTCCGGCGATCTCGCGGAGGCTCGGCGGCGGGGCCGTCGCCAGGCGCCGGCGGCCGCGCGGAGAGGCTTCCGAGGGGCGGGGCCGCGGAGATCGCGCATGGGGGGCGCCGCGCAAGGAGACGCTCCACGGGCTGCGAGCCCTGACCACCACTGCGCACACCCGCTTACAGGAGCACCGCCAGAGATTCCCAGGCCGCGGGAGGAGCCGAGGAGGGATCGCAGGGGCCAGAGCGCGGGGCCCCAGGCGGAGGGCGAGGTCCACGCGCCCAGGTTGCAGGGGGGCGCTGGTTGTCGAGCGGGGAACAGCCCAAGTCGACCCAGGCCCCAGCGCAAGGACGCTGAACACAGTTCAGGGGGCGTCGCCCGCAGTGGGGGCCCGATGTCAGGGCAGGCGGCATCGGCGCCTGGAAGCAGGGCGCGGAGCGCGAGCGAGCCGAGCGCGGCAAGGGCACCCTGGAGGTCGAGGATCTCGCGGACGCGGGGCTCGCGCGGGCGCCACTGGGGGGCCGGAGAGACCACGGAGGGCTGGGGGGGAGCGGCAGGAAGGGGCCGGGAGCAGTAGGGCCAGCAGTGACCGAGGAGCCAGAAGTGGAGGGGGCGCCAGAGCCAGCGCCAGGACAGGCCGCTCCATTGCCGGGCCCGTCCCCGCCCTGGGATGCGGATGCCGCGGCGGGAGCTCCACGGTCACCGGCTGCCCCTGGACCTGGGGCCCGCGCTTCCGGCAGGGGGGGCGGCGGGTGGAAATTGGAAGATTCGGCGCGGCGGCGGGGGGCAGGCGGGCCGAGGGATCGATGGCCAGTCGCGGCAGGGAGCCGGGGCCAGGGCCGCCCACTCCAGGGCAGATCGGCCCGCGGGCGGCCAAGGCCCAGGGCTAGGAACGACAACGTCTGTCGCGTCTGGTGGGGGCGCACGCACGGCGCGCGGCGCCCCGCGGGAGCTTGCATGCGACGCTGGCCTCTGCGAGCCCGGGATCCGCGCCCCCGCTCGCCCCCGCCCCCCCCCGCGCACCTCCCGCGCGCCCGCCTGCGACGCGGCCCCCGCCGACTGCACCCTGCCGCCGCGGGCGGCGCGGCGACCGGCGCCGCCGAATCCGCAGTTGCCCCCGCCGCCAGCAGCGGCAGGGGAGGCCCCCCACCGGCGCCTCCAGCTCCTCCCGCTGCCTCTGGACCCGCAACGAGCCCCCTTGACAACAAAGACTCTGCGCACCTACACAGCTGCATGGCTAATCAGATTTCCTCGCAGCGCCGCCGCATCCGATCGGGCGAGCGCGTCGGGCTGGAGGTTCTGGGCGCCTTCCCGCCTCACGTGCCCTTGCTCTGACCCACCCCTGGTTTCGCTTCACTCGCCTGCTGAATTCGAACAGTTCATGGATTTCCTCATTCAGTCAGCCTTCGCGGACGAGCACCCCACCGACGCGGAACCCTCGAGGCGGCGGGGCACCCCCAGGAAGCGCCCTGCGCCCTGGGCGCCCGCCGAGGCTTTCCCGCGACGCCGCCTTCACTATTGGGGGCCTAGCACCCTGCGCCCGAGCGGATGCTCGCAGGTGGTTTGCCCCTTGGCGCTTGCCTTGCTCGACGTGGATACGCGCGGCCCCTCTTGAAGGTTTTCCGCGGCCTCGGACACCGCGGCCGCGCCTTCCCGCAGGTCCCGCTGCGCGACACGGCCGCGGTGAACGGGCGGGTCGTTTTTCGCATTCGGTGTTTCGTCCCGTGCGCGCTCCATTTCTGGATCGCCTCCTCTCACCTCGGCCAGTTTGCCTCGGCGAGCAACCAGTTGCGCTCGTACTGCCCTCCTGCGCGTGATTCGCATTCCCAATGCTGTCCCCCTCGTCCCCTGCACGCCCACCCCTCCGCAGTTCTGGGGCGTGTCCGCCCCCCGTGGGCCTTCGAGCCAGCCGCGCCCCCTTTGGCTGGTTCTCGGCCGATTTCCTGGCGACCCTACGTGCCTGCCAGCGCTGCGACATCTGCGGCGCAGGCTTCGCGGCGTCGTCGCCGCCATTGCTTAGCATCGGCCACCTCGCGGTTTGTGTTGCCCTTTTGCCAGTCGTCTGGCTTTGGCATCGCTGTGGTTACTACTGTGCCCCCCTTTCGCCCTCCTGGCATGCCGCTTCCTCGCCAGTTGACAATGCGTTCCTCGTCTTCCCCCAGGTCATCCATGCCCGGATGACCCTATGGCTGGCCGCGGCGGTGCTCGTTCTGAGCCGCTTGAGGGTTCGGCCGCCAGTCGCGCGCGCACGCGTGCTCTGCTCCGGCTGTGAACGCCCTGTCGCTGCGCACGTAGCCGCGACGCCAGAAAGTGCGTGTGTTTGTGTGGGCGGCCGTGATTGGGTGGGTATGTGGGTGGACGGTTGGTGGACCGTCGCGATTGTTTGGTAAGTGGGTGGTGGGCGTTGGTCGCTTGAAAAATGGTGGTTGGGGGGTGGGTAGCGGTTGGCGATGGGCCGGCGCTGGCGGGCCCGGAAGGGCAAAACAACGAACGTATGTTGTTTGGCATCTTGGTATGTGAACAGCTCGTCACCCGCCTTTCGCGGGCCTGTTCCTTCATGGGTCTGCCGCATGGGGCCCTGCGCGGGGGAAGGGGGGGGGGGAAAAGGAGGAGGAGGAAGAGGAGGAGGAGGAGGAGGAGGAGGAGGACGACGACGACGACAGAGGAATAACAGGAAGAGTTGTGGGACAGAAAGGAGGAGGAGGGAGATACCAGGAGGACGAGGAGAGAAAGAAGGATGAAATTGGTACGGGGAGGAGCAGCAGCAAGAAAGGGAAGGGAGGACAAGAGGAGGGGGGCAGAAAGGAGGACGAGCATGGCTAGGGGGGGATGAGGAGGACAGGGTGGAAAAAGGCAGGGCGAGCGGCAGAAGCCGTCGGCCAGGAGGCCACGAAAGAATCCCAGGCAGCCTCAATTGGACACCAGGATATGATTTGTAGTGTTTCCTCCTCTTCCTCCTCCTCCTCCTCCTCCTCCTCCTCCTCCTCCTCCTCCTCCTCCTCCTCCTCCTCCTCCTCTTCCCACATCCACCCCCTCTGTCTTCCCGCAGACCTTCCTCCCTGGCTGGCGGTCAACCACGTATGAGCCCCATGGCGGAATTCATGTGCGACGCACGCACAGTCCAGGTCGCCCCCGGGGGCGCAAAGACCACCGCGCATCGCGCAGCCCAGTACTATCTATCCACGAAGGCGATCGTACATGAGTAGTATGAACAGCAGGAACAGGAGGAGGAGGAGGAGGAGGAGGAGGGGGAGGGACGAGGACGAGGACGAACAGCAGCAGCAGCAGCAGCAGGAGCAGGAGTTGAAGGGGAAGGAGCGGGAGGAGCAGAGAGACCATGCGGGGCAGGGGGACCACGGGAAGGCGGAGGAGAGAAAAGGGGGGGCGACAACGATGAAGGAAGGATCCGGGCCCAGAGCAGTGGCCCGCGTCGGGGCGAGAGCGCCATTCTGAACAATGAGGGCCATGCGCCGATCCAAAACATGATGCACACGCTGCAGCGGGAGCACAGTTCTGAAACACCGAAAACACTCGGAGTCAAAAACAGTGCGCGGAGAGGGCCGAACATCGTCCAGGCAGAGTCCAGGAAGAGAGGGCAGTGGCATTCATAATACGCAATTGCCGAATACAGCGGAGGGGGGGCGGAGGGAGGGAGAGGGCGCAGGGGAAGAGAGGGGATGAATGGGGAGGAGGGGAGAGGAGAAACAGGGGGTGAGAAAAGGAGGGGCAGGGACAGGAAGGGAAGGAGGGCGGGAGGAGGGAGGGAGGTTTGGAACGGCGGGGCCACAGGCCGGCGTCGGCCTCCAGGACGACGTCGAGGAGGCGTTCTGAGGGTTTGTGTGTGTCTGTCACTTTGGCAGCAGCAAGGAGTCGCTTAATAGTCTGCCCGCGCTCCATAGCCGAGCGTTTTCCCGCGAGACCGTCTGCTGAAACAGCCCATGGCTTGCAGCGGCTGGCGCCGATCGCCATGCGACAAGAGTGGGCAGCGAGTTGGAAACACGAAGCGCCGCGCGAGTCGATGCTGGCGTCAGAAGACAGACAGAGCTGGAGGTACATCAAAGGAGGTCCACACAATAAGTACTACCTGCGTAGATGTATGTATATGTATACATATATATATATATATATATATATATATATATATATATCAGAGTAGGGCCCAGGGGCGGCCCGGGGCGGTGCCTGTAATCTCCATGGGGGGTGCAGGGCGCCCGCGGGAGCGTCCGAAGCGTCCCGGAGGGCCCCTGGGACCGCCAGGAACAGTTTGAGACCGCCCAAGACGGCCCGCGAGCGCTTCAAGACGCGCATAGATCGCCTCAGGAATGGCCAGGAAGGCCCGAAGACGTTCCAAGAGAGCTCCATGAGGCCCCGAAGGCATCCCAAGAGGCCTCCCAAGAGAGCCCCGACAAGCCAAAATCGTTGATTTTTATTGTTTTTTCTAAGTTTTTGGCCTTCTCGCTTTTTCGGGGTTCCGACGCTCCAAGGCCGTCCAAGAGTCTCCCAAAATCGCTCCAAGACGGCCGAAGAGGCCCCCAAGACCGCCCCAAGACGGCCCAAGAGAACCCCCAAAATCGTCCCAAGACGGCCCAGGAAAGCCCCAAGATGGCCCAGGAGCCGCCCAAGACGGTTCCAGGAGAGCCCCGACAGGGCTTCAAGACTGCCGAAGCGAGCCCAGCGGTCCCCAAGAGGGCCCCGCGAGGCCCCAAGAGCCCCAAAGAGGCCCCCACGAGCCTCCCCGGAGGCCCCCAGAGGCCCCCAAGATGCCCAAAAATGTCCCTGAGCGCGCCCCAAGACGCCTCCAGGAGAGCCCAACAGGCCTCCGAGAGGCCCCCAAGAGGCCCACTGGAGGCCCTCAGGAGGTCGTCCCCATCATGTTCCCGGAAGGCGGTCCGGGAACATGATTCCGCGCCTTGGAGGAGTATCCTGCGCCTTCCGAGGCGCCTTGGACGACGTACGTATGTTTCTATAGATTGTCCTTCTCCTGTGTACACAATCCTACATGTCTTACGTATGTTTCTATATATATATATATATACATAGATTTGTGTGTATATATATATATATAAATAATGGGGAGGGGGTCCTGGACCAGGGGGGGGCCTCACTTTGCCCAGTGGCTGTGGTCACCCCCCCGCCGGAGACGCCAGGACGCTCCCAGGACCCTCTAAAATGGCTCCAGGACGCCCTCAGGACAGCCCAAGAGAGGTCCGAAGCGGCCCGGGAGCACTCCAAGACGGTCAAAAAGCTGCCAAAGCGTCCCAGCAGGTCTCCGACAGCACTCTCGGGAGGGGCCCAACACGAAATTGTCACTAATTTCTGATGGGTTTTGAAGGGTTTTTGGCGTTCTCCCCAGTTCGGCTTCCAGACGCTCCAAGGCGGCCCAAGAGGCCCGAAAGATCGCCTCAAGACGAGCCCAGAGGCCCCCAAGAGACCACCGAGACAGCCCAACAGGGCCCCAAGACGGCCCAGGAAGCTTCCAAGACGGCCCAAAAGATCTCCCAGAACACTCCAAGAGGAGCCCCAGATGGGGAACACGAACTGACATTTCGAGCCCTCGCCCACCAGAAGCTCCCAAGAGGCCCCCAGGAGTCCGTAAGAGGCCTCGAGAGGCCCCCAGGAAGCTCCAAGAGGCCTCCAAAAGGCGCCGAAAGGGCCCCGCAAGGCTTCCAGACGCTGGTGATAATGACAATGATGATTATGCAGGGCGGCCTTAGGCCCACAACCTAAATCCCCCATACTGCTCACGCGGCATGCAAGACGCTGCGGAGACATCCTCGAGTTCGGCGGGGGAGTTTCGGAGACGACGGTGACGAAAATGATGACGATGTCGACGACGATTATGAAGTTGACGACGACGATGATGATGATGATGATGATGATGATGATGATGATGATGATGATGATGATGATGATGATGATGATGATGATCATGATCATGATGATGATGATGATGATGATCATGATGAGGAGGAGGAGGAGGAAGAAGGTTATGATGATGATGACAGTGGGAATGATGATGATGCTGATGATGATGTTGATGATGGTGATCGTGATGTGAGTGGTGGTGATGATGATGATGATGATGATGATGATGATGATGATGATGATGATGATGATGATGGTGGTGATGCTGACGATCATGATGACGATGACGGCGATGCCGTTGAGGATGGTGATGTTGACGATCATTATGATGATGCTGCTGATGGTCAGGATGATAACGCCGATGCTGATAATAATGGTGGCGATACTGTTTATGGTGCTTATGATGCAGGAGTGGGCGGATGATGAAGATGATGACGATGATGATGACGATAACGATGACGACGATCACGACGACGACGATAATGATGACGATGGCGATGATGAGGATGATTATGTTGATAATTCAGGTGACGATATTGACGATGATGACGACGATGGCGATGATGACGATGGTGGTGACGATGTTGTTGCTGATGGTGGTGATGGTGACGATTGTGATGTTGGTGATGGTCATGGTGATGATGACGATGCCGCTGACGATGACGCCGGATATGATGGTGATGAGGATGGCGATGATGACGATGACGTTTATCTTAGCTAGAACTTGAGCGCGCGCGAAGCGCGCGCGATGGTTCTAGTATATATACATATATATATGTTTATATATACAGGGTCAGTGCCAAAGCTAGGGTTCCAGGCCGATGCACGAACACGGAGCGCACGCGCGCAGCCGCTCGTAACATGCAGGAGGCCCGCATGCAGAAATTCGCCCTCAGCGCATGGGTCGCTGAGTAATGTCGGAGGAGGAGGAGGAGGAGAAGAAGAAGGAGGACGAGGAGGAGGAGGAGGAAGACGAGCAGGAGGAGGAGGAGGAGGAGGACGAGGAGGAGGAGGAAGAGGAGGAAGAGGAGGGCGTAAAGGAAGGCGGCGGCGGCGGCGGTCACAGAGTCTCTGCCAAAAGCCGAGATGGAATTATCGCTGAAAGTTCAACCAGGTTTACCAAGTAGAGACGTAAATGCGCAAAAACAATTCAACTAGATACAGGCAAATTCAGGGTGAACATATTCCGTATTGCAAATACATCTGATCCTCAGATTTTGATCCGGCTGCTTGCTGTCTGGCGCAAGGCTACCATAGGGCATCTCGCTTGTAGCCAATTTGCGCGAATCCGCGACGATGCCATACGCACTGAGTGGGGTGTGCCCTCAAGCGCCCAATAATGCCAAATAATCGTCATGTTAGCGTATTGCAAATTCAGCGCTTAATTGTGAAATCGTGCCCGAGGCTGGAACGGGGGGAACGGGAGATGGCAGGTCGGATAGCAGCCCATGTAAGAGCGCGGTTTGTTGCTTGGGCCATGACGGGCGTCATGGCCCCTTGTCCCTCCCCACTATGACGTAACGCTCCCCCCCCAATGCGTTCCGAGCACTGCCGCCGTGCGCATCGTGATCCGCATGGGTGTTTGCATAGGAATCCGCATCGGAGTTTGGTCCGCAGTCGTCGTCGTCGTCGTCATCGCCGTCGTCGTCGTCGTCATCGCCGTCGTCGTCGTCGTCGTCGCCGCCGCCGCTGTCGTCGTCGTCGTCGTTGTCGCTCGTCCCTCGTCGGTCGTCGCTCATCGTCGCCGTGCGCGCGGACGCAGCTGGAGCCTGTTTTCTTTATTCCGGGCCGATGGCGGCAATCATCTGGGGGGGGGAGGGGGCCGCTGACGTCACGTTTCGCGTTTGCGGCGTCTGGGAATGCCTAGGAAATGACCAAGGACGGGTAGCAGCAGCATGCCGGTGAAGATCTGCAACACAACGCCTGTGTACACCACAGTGCCTGCATGCACCACAGCGCCTGTGTACACCACACCGCCTATGTACACCACAGCAGCCGCGTGCAACACACCGCCAGTGTGTGCCACAGTGTCTGGTGGCACCACAGCGCTTGTGTACACCACACCGCCTATGTACACCACAGCAGCCGCGTGCAACACAGCGCCAGTGTGTGCCACAGTGTCTGCTGGCACCACAGCGCTTGTGTACACCACAGCGCCTGTGTACACCACATCAGCCGTGCGCAACACAACACCAGTGTACACCACAATGCCCGCGTGCAGTACAGGGCTTGTGTACACCACGGCGCTTGTGTGCCCCACAGCAACCGCTTGCAACAAAACACCACAGTTGTATATAAAATGGGGTAAGGAATCCTTATGACAAAAAATAGCACGCCTATCAACAGAAAAACAATTTTTAATAGAAATTGGAAAGGGATCCTTATGGCAAAAGCGCCGCTGGAATCTACGAGTCCCCCGGAGTCCGCCTCATCCTAATTCTTCCCATATGCGTTCAGAAGTCTCCAGCTAAATTGGCCGCCCGAGAACGAACCAAGTAGACTGATTCAATAGATCATTTTGCTGTGCACGCTGAGATGCGCACGTGCGCTGTAGCGCCGACCCTCACGACAGGGGGGAAGGGTGAAGGAAAAGGCGGAGGAGGAGGACAGCAGGAGGAGGAGGAGGAGGACGCAGAAGAGAAGGAGGAGGAGGCAAAGGTGGAGGAGGCAGGAGGGGAAAACGTCGCATCCTATTATCCGCATTTCCCTGGCGTTGCGTTTAGCTGTCCGCAGCACATCCTGACCGACATGCTCCTTTTACCTGCCCTGTGCACGCGGGCACTCTGGTGTGCACCAGCGCTGCGTTGCACGCGGATGCTGTGGTGTAGACAGGCGTTGTGGTGTGCACAGGCGCTGCGGTGCACGTGGGCACTGTGGTGTGGACAGGCGCTGTGTTACACATGGCTGTTGCGGTGTACACATTCGCTGTGGTGTACACCGGCGCTGTGGTGCACGCAAGCATTGTT